CATGCATATATCCTTACAATATTGCTGGCAGCATTTTAAGTCGTGTTGAGGAGTACAGGGATTTGGGGGTCCTGTTTGATGCAAGTCTTAATTTTAAAAAACATATCAATAATGTGTGTTCGGAGGCCTTTAGGTCCCTAGGTTTTGTGATGCGTATGTCTAAATATTTCACAAGTGTCAGCTTATTAAAGACCTTGTATTGTGCTTACGTTCTGAGTAAGTTAGAATACGCTTGCCTGATTTGGAGTCCCTTATATGCATGTGAGTTCTTAAGCCTTGATCGAGTCCATCGTAGATTCTTAAAATTTCTTTCTTACAAATCTGATGGAATTTACCCTGAGCGAGGTATACCACAAAATGATTTGCTTGCACGACACAATATGATTTCCTTGATGGACAGAAGAAACGCGTTTTATGAAAGGTTTCTACAAAGGCTTATCGAATATAACATCGATTGCCCTTTCATTCTTGAGCGACTAGGGTTTGTTGTTCCAAGGAGTAACTCAAGATATAGCTGCGTATTCGTCATTCCTTATGCTAGGACAAACATTATGAGACGGGCGCCAACATACACTCTCGGTAAAGTGGGCAACAGGATTCCAGACAATCAGTGATCACCTGCATGTAANGTTTCTCATTTTTTGGGTTAAGCAACTATTTTCACTCATTTTCAAAAAATCATAACAAATCGGGATTTCAATAAATCGTTATGAAACTATCAGCACTTATTCTACAAATTATGAGCTTTTCAATGAAAGAAACGGATTTTCAAAATATCTTTTAGTTTTTGAGATATTAATTATTAAACAGTTTCTCATTTCTTGGGTTAAGCAACTATTTTTGATAATTTTCAAAAAATCATAACAAATCGGGATTTCAATAAATCGTTATGAAACTATCGGCACTTATTCTACAAATTATGAGCTTTTCAATTAAAGAAACGGATTTTCGAAATATCTTTTAGTTGTTGAGGTATTAATTATTAGGCAGTTTCTCATTTTTTGGGTTAAGCAACTATTTTCACTCATTTTCAAAAAATCATAACAAATCGGAATTTCAATAAATCGTTATGAAACTATCAGCACTTATACTACAAATTATGAGCTTTTCAATGAAAGAAACGGATTTTCAAAATATCTTTTAGTTTTTGAGATATTAATTATTAAACAGTTTCTCATTTCTTGCATTAAGCAACTATTTTTATTCATTTTCAAAAAATCATAACAAATCGGGATTTCAATAAATCATTATGAAGCTATCAGCACTTATTCTACAAATTATGAACTTTCCAATGTAACAAACAGATTTTCGAAATATCTTTTAGTTTTTGAGATATTAATTATTAGACAGTTTCTAATTTTTTGGGTTAAGCAACTATTTTCACTCATTTTCAAAAAATCATAACAAATCGGGATTTCAATAAATCATTATGAAACTATCAGCACTTATTCTACAAATTATGAGCTTTCCAATGAAATAAACGGATTTTTAAAATATCTTTTAGTTTTTGAGATATTAATTATTAGACAGTTTCCCATTTTTTGGATTAAGCAACTATTTGCACTCATTTTCAAAAAATCATAACAAATCGAGATTTCAATAAATCATTATGAAACTATCAGCACACATTCTACAAAAAATGAGCTTTTCAATGAAAGAAACGGATTTTCAAAATATCTTCTGGTTTTTGAGATATTAATTATTAGACAGTTTCTCATTTTTTGGGTTAAGCAACTATTTTCACTCATTTTCAAAAAATCATAACAAATCGGGATTTTAGTAAATCATTATGAAACTATCAGCACTTATTGTACAAATTATGAGCTTTCCAATGTAACAAACGGATTTTCGAAATATCTTTTAGTTTTTGAGGTATTAATTATTAGACAGTTTCTCATTTTTTGGGTTAAGCAACTATTTTCACTCATTTTCAAAAAATCATAACAAATCGGGATTTCCATAAATCATTATGAAACTATCAGCACTTATTGTACAAATTATGAGCTTTCCAATGTGAGAAACGGATTTTCAAAATATCTTTTAGTTTTTGAGATATTAATTATTAGACAGTTTCTCATTTTTTGGGTTAAGCAACAATTTTCACTCATTTTCAAAAAAATCATAACAAATCGGGATTTCAATAAATCGCTATGAAACTATCAGCACCTATTCTACAAATTATGAGCTTTTCAATGAAATAAACAGATTTTAAAAATATCGTTTAGTTCTTGAGATATTAATTTTTAAACGTCAAAATGACATTTACTCAATTTTAGGGTAAAACAATTATTTTCACTCAATTTCAAAAAATCATAATAAATTGGAATTTTAATGGATAATTATGAAATTATCAGTACTTATTCTGCAAATTATAAGCTTTCCAATGAAAGCAACCGATTTTGAAAATATTTGTTAGTTCTTGAGATATTAACTTTTAAACGTTAAAAGACACACACTCAGTTTTAGGGTAAAGCAATTATTTTCACTCAATTTCAAAAAATCATAATAAATTGGAATTTTAATGGATAATTATGAAATTATCAGTACTTATTCTGCAAATTATAAGCTTTCCAATGAAAGCAACCGATTTTGAAAATATTTGTTAGTTCTTGAGATATTAACTTTTAAACGTTAAAAGACACACACTCAGTTTTAGGGTAAAGCAATTATTTTCACTCAATTTCAAAATGAAATGAAAGAAACAAATTTTCAAAATATCTTTTAATTTTTGAATTATTAAGTTTTAAACAATAACTCATCTTTCGGGTTAAGCAATTATTTTCATTCATTTTTAAAAAATCATAACAAATCGGGTTTTCAATAAATCATTATGAAACTATCAACACTTACTCTGCAAATTATAAGCTTTCCAACGAAAGAAACGGATTTTTAAAATATCTTTTAGTTTTTGAATTATTAAGTTTTAAACAATAACTCATCTTTCGGGTTAACCAATTATTTTCGCTCATTTTCAAAAAATCATAACAAATCGGGATTTCAATAAATCATTATGAAGCTATCAGCACATATTCTACAAATTATGAGCTTTCCAATGAAATAAACGGATTTTCAAAATATCTTTTAGTTTTTAAGATATTAATTATTAGACAGATTCTCATTTTTTGGATTAAGCAACTATTTTCACTCATTTTCAAAAAATCATAACAAATCGGGATTTCAATAAATCATTATGAAACTGTCAGCACTTATTCTACAAATCATGAACTTTCCAATAAGGGAAACGGATTTTCAAAATATCTTTTACTTTTGGAGATATTAATTGTTAGACAGTTTCCCATTTTTTGGATTAAGCAACTATTTTCATTGATTTTCAAAAAGTCATAACAAATCGAGATTTCAATAAATCATTATGAAGCTATCAGCACTTATTCTACAAATTATGAACTTTCCAATGTAACAAACGGATTTTCGAAATATCTTTTAGTTTTTGAGATACTAATTATTAAACAGTTTCTCATTTCTTGCATTAAGCAACTATTTTCACTCATTTTCGAAAAATCATAACAAATCGGGATTTCAATAAATTATTATGAAACTATCAGCACTTATTCTACAAATTATGAGCTTTCCAATGAAAGAAACGGATTTTCAAAATATTTTTTAGTTTTTGAGATATTAATTATTATTCAGTTTCTCATTTTTAGGTTAAGCAACAATTTTCACTCATTTTCAAAAAATCATAACAAATCGAGATTTAAACAAATCATTTTGAAACTATCAGCACTTATTCTACAAATTATGAGCTTTTCAATGAAAGAAACGGATTTTCAAAATATCTTTTAGTTTTTGAGATATTAATTATTTGACAGTTTCTCATTTTTTGGGTTAAGCAACTATTTTCACTCATTTTCAAAAAATCATAACAAATCGGGATTTCAATAAATCATTATGAAACTATCAGCACTTATTCTACAAATTATGAGCTTTCCAATGAAAGAAACGGATTTTCAAAATATCTTTTAGTTTTTGAGATATTAATTATTAGACAGTTTCCCATTTTTTGGATTAAGCAACTATTTTCACTCATTTTCAAAAAATCATAACAAATCGGGATTTCAGCAAATCAATATGAAACTATTATCACATATTCTACAAATTATGCGCTTTCCAATGAAGTAAACGGATTTTCAAAATATCTTTTAGTTTTTGAGATATTAATTATTAAACAGTTTTTCATTTTTTGGATTAAGCAACTATTTTCACTCATTTTCAAAAAATCATAACAAATCGGGATTTCAATAAATCATTATGAAACTATCAGCACTTATTCTACAAATTATGAGCTTTCCAATGAAAGAAACGGATTTTCAAAATATCTTTTAGTTTTTGAGATATTAATTATTAGACAGTTACTCATCTTTCGGGTTAAGCAATTATTTTCACTCATTTTCAAAAAATCATAACAAATCGGGATTTCAATAAATCATTATGAAACTATCAGCACTTATTCGAAACTATCAGCACTTATTCTACAAATTATGCGCTTTCCAATGAAGTAAACGGATTTTCAAAATATCTTTTAGTTTTTGAGATATTAATTATTAAACTGTTTCTCATTTTTTGGGTTAAGCAACTATTTTCACTCATTTTCAAAAAATCATAACAAATCGGGATTTCAGCAAATCAATATGAAACTATCAGCACATATTCTACAAATTATGCGCTTTCCAATGAAGTAAACGGATTTTCAAAATATCTTTTAGTTTTTGAGATATTAATTATTAGACAGTTTCTATTGTGAAAAGTCAGTTTTCTTTTGAAATGTTAATCATCCAGGGGAAAGAATGTTAGGTTGGGTTAGTTTTATTTTGCAACCCTAATTATAACGTGAAGGAATGTTAGGATAGGTCAGTTTGTATGTTGATTAAGTTGCACTTTTCGCACTTTGCTTTAGCCTCATTTGGTACAAGTTTGCCTAGTTGCATACTAGGCAAATCCAAAAATTTGCCTAGTCAATCTTGATGAAAGAAAATATATTTTTATGAAGAACAAAAACTTTTTATTCTAACCAAAGAATTAATAACAGGCTTTAACAACAACCAACACGTAATTATGACTAAAACGACATAACAAACGTTTTGCATCGTCGGAGTCGATCTATTTCTGAACCACCCCGTATAAAAACCAGTTACAGTGGCAACAGCTCCGCTTAACACAGCTGCGATTCCAACCAAAGCATGGAACAGCTTGTTTATATTCGGCTTGATGATTTTGCGAAGCTTTCCTGCGAAAACAGCAGGAATTCCATTTATGCAACAAACATAAGCTAAAATTGTAGCTACCGCCCCCGGTAAACCGTGGTTAGTACTAAAATGATCACTACCCCTATCAGCAGCTTGCACAACAATCACGGTAAATCCTGCGATTATAAATCCTGTTGCAACCACCAAAACCAACCAATGAATTAATACTCTTGTTGGTTGAGAAAGTCGGCTTGTACAAATATTTTCTTTTGGTACAAAAAATATTCCTTCCACCATTAAAAATGTCCACTAAAATGAATTTGTTTGATAAATAATAAATTAATTTAAGATGTAGCTCACCCCAATTGTATATAAAAGCACATGCCAAGTTGTTAAACTTAATCCATCTTCAGGAACGGGAAAACACAAATAAATAATATAAATAGACAACCCCAAATTTATAATCCGAATCGCCGTTGTTACATGAGCCATAAGATCTTCAAGACAATCAAGAGGAGGTTGCTCATTTTGTTTAACTTTTTGATCGAAATTCATTGTAAATGATAAAAATGAAAAATAACATCTAAAAAAGCGATCGTATTCTTTTATATTCGATCAAAATTAGATTTACGATCCAAACGGAATCTTTTTAATGGATTTCGAGACAAGTCCTTAAACCAACAGATTATTTTTGACTGATGCTCTAAGCTTTACGTTTACTTACCATTAAGTATATAAACAAAGAATACAATGAAATAAAAACATTTCTTATCAAATCACGTACTGGCGAGATCTAAAAATTAATTTAATTATATTAAACGATTTGTCTTCGGTTCCGATAAAAGAATGTAATTAATAAGACGAAAATTGATGTGGAAATAATATTTGTTGCGTTATTTAGATAATAATTTTGATAACAAAGATAAAAAGCGTGGTATTTTTAGGATTATTATGTTTTAATGGATTTTCCGGGTTATTGATTCATTTTTTTTTGTTGAACTCTATTTGCATTTTTTCTTTTCGTTCCAGTTTCATCGTCGTCGCGAATTTTAATTACCAAGGACCCGCATAAATCTTTTAATTAACACCGAATTAATAGGGGAGCTCTTCTCTCTCACGATATTAAATTAACATTTCATGGTCGTAATCATTCCTTTTTGTACACGAATTTTCTATTAAACCAAGTTTTATTACAGGTTGCCCAAAATTTTGGGACTTATATTTGGTTACTTGCCATAACTCAGCTTTCAAAGCCATGAATACGCATTTCTGGAAATTTCCTCATGTCTTAGAAAGGATCCTCTCAGGAAACAGAATCCTGTATTGAGGAAGCCTTCAATATATATGTGGTAACTTGTATGTTCGAGGTGACCATCACGTTAGTTTTTCTTCTAATCTAAATTTTGAGATTTGTTGCTTCAACAGGTTATTTCAACTGTTGCCACATTGACATTATGTTTAAAAACTAATATCTCAAAAACTAAAAGATATTTTGAAAAGCCGTTTCTCCCACTGGAAAGCTGATAATTTATATAATAAGTGATGATAATTTGAAAATGATTCGTTGAAATCCTTATTTGTTATGATTTTTTGAAAATGAATGAAAATTGTTGCTTAACCCAAAAAATGAGAAGCTGTCTAATAATTAATATCTCAAAAACTAAAAGATATTTTGAAAATCCGTTTATTTCATTGGAAAGCTCATAATTTGTAGAATAAGAGCTGATAGCTTCATAATGATTTATTGAAATCCCAATTTGTTATGACTTTTTGAAAATGAATAAAAATAGTTGCTTAATGCAAGAAATGAGAAACTGTTTAATAATTAATATCTCAAAAACTAAAAGATATTTTGAAAATCTGTTTCTTTCATTGGAAAGCTCATAATTTGTAGAATAAGTGCTAATAGTTTCAAAATGATTTGTTTAAATCCCGATTTGTTATGATTTTTTGAAAATTAATGAAAATTGTTGTTTAACCCAAAAAATGTGAAACTGTCTAATAATTAATTAATATCTCAAAAATTAAAAGATACTTTGAAAATTCGTTTATTTCATTGGAAAGCTCATAATTTGTAGAATAAGTGCTGATAGTTTCATAATGATTTATTGAAATCCCGATTTGTTATGATTTTTTGAAAATGAGTGAAAATTCTTGCTTAACCCAAAAAATGAGAAGCTATCTAATAATTAATTAATATCTCAAAAATTAAAAGATACTTTGAAAATCCGTTTCTTTCATTAGAAAGCTCATAATTTGTAGAATAAGTGCTGATAGTTTCATAATGATTTATTGAAATCCCGATTTGTTATGATTTTTTGAAAATGAGTGAAAATAGATGCTTGAACCAAAAAATGAGAAATTCGTTAATAATTAATATCTCAAAAACTAAAAGATATTTTGAAAATCCGTTTATTTCATTGGAAAGCTCATAATTTGTAGAATAAGTGCTGATAGTTTCATAATGATTTATTGAAATCCCGATTTGTTATGATTTTTTGAAAATGAGTGAAAATAGTTGCTTAACCCAAAAAATGAGAAACTGTCTAACAATTAATATCTTAAAAACTAAAAGATATTTTGAAAATCCGTTTATTTCATTGGAAAGCTCATAATTTGCAGAATAAGTGCTGATAGTTTCATAATGATTTGTTTAAATCCCGGTTTGTTATGATTTTTTGAAAATGAACGAAAATTGTTACTTAACCCAAAAAATGAGAAACTAATAATTAATATCTCAAAAACTAAAAGATATTTTGAAAATCCGTTTCTTTCATTGGAAAGCTCATAATTTGTACAATAAGTGCTGATAGTTTCATAATGATTTATTGAAATCTCGATTTGTTATGATTTTTTGAAAATATGTGAAAATGGTTGCTTAACCCAAAAAATGGGAAACTGTCTAATAATTAATATCTCAAAAACTAAAAGATATTTTGAAAATCCGTTTCTTTAATTGGAAAGCTCATAATTTGTAGAATAAGTGCTGATAGTTTCATAATGATTTGTTTAAATCCCGATTTGTTATGATTTTTTGAAAATGAACGAAAATTGTTACTTAACCCAAAAAATGAGAAACTCTTTAATAATTAATATCTCAAAAACTAAAAGATATTTTGAAAATCCGTTTCTTTCATTGGAAAGCTCATAATTTGTAGAATAAGTGCTGATAGTTTCAAAATGATTTGTTTAACCCGATTTGTTATGATTTTTTGAAAATGAGTGAAAATAGTTGCTTAACCCAAAAAATGAGAAACTGTCTAATAACTAATATCTCAAAAACTAAAAGATATTTTGAAAATCCGTTTCTTTCATTGGAAAGCTCATAATTTGTAGAATAAATGCTGATAGTTTCAAAATGATGTGTTTAAATCCCGATTTGTTATGATTCTTTAAAAATAAGTGAAAATTGTTGCTTAAACCGAAAGATGAGTTATTGTTTAAAACTTAATAATTCAAAAACTAAAAGATATTTTGAGAATCCGTTTCTTTCATTGGAAAGCTTATAATTTGCAGAATAAGTGCTGATAGTTTCATAATGATTTATTGAAATTCCGATTTGTTATGATTTTTTGAAAATGAGTGAAAATAATTGCTTAACCCAAAAAATGAGAAACTCGTTAATAATTAATATCTCAAAAACTAAAAGATATTTTGAAAATCCGTTTATTTCATTGGAAAGCTCATAAATTGAATTAGATATGCTGATAATTTCACAAGAATTCATTAAACTTACAATTTATTACGATTTTTTGAAAATAATTGTTATCAAGAAATGTTTAAAAATTAATATTCCAAAAACTAAAAGATTTTTTAATCCGTTTTTTTATGGGAAAGCTTATAATTTAAGGGGAGCTTAATGGGATTCTGATAAAAAGAATCTCTAACATTTTCAGCCAAGGTGAACGAGTCTTTGATATTGTATGGAGTAGGGTGGATGGATTTTTAGTAAACCATATAATTTAGGGATGGTACCATTATGGAAAACCAGTCTTCTATATGTTTCCTTCGAGATGTGTTTTAAATCGAGTTTAATCGAATTTCCTTTGAACCGTGGTAGTTGGGTCAGATTTAAGGACCTCATGTGTGAGGATCAGACAACAACTGGAGGGATTTCTCAGTATATTAAGATTTGTTCATCATGACAACCGTGACTTGGCCTTTGTCAACAGGCATAACAATATGGGGGTCATTCTAACGTTCTGACTAGTTGGTCTAGGGCGACTAGCGTGATTTTCTTCATAAATTGTGTTTTTAATCGTGTGTCTTTCGCAAATTTGTTGAATTTTAGTTTTTGTGTATAAGACTTCGTTGCAAATATTGTGGAGGGGATTGTTTTGGTGTCTAATTTATGTCCAAATTCTTAGACAACTTCTTTCAGATTTCTGCATTATTATTTTGCTATTCTTGCAAGTTTTATGCCCACATCTGTCTTAAATTTTTAATATAAACAAAGAAAAATGTATTGTTGCTTTAAAGTGAATGTTGATATAAATTAATAAAAAATAAGAGGAGTAAAAAATATTTTAGTTTTGAACGATTCTTTTCTTCATGACTTTTAAAATCCAATTGTAGAAAACATACACCTTCTTATACTCCTTAAATAAATATCATTTACATTCTTAAGTATGCATATGAAGTAGAAATTATTAATATTTACATTAGCTGCTGCTGCGTGTGATAATTCACCAAAGACAGGAATATCCATAATGAGAGATTTTTGGCTCACACACAACAATATCAGAACATCTTTTCGTGTTGAAACGTCAGCTTCAAACCAGTTCAAGTTATAAACATCTTCAGCAACGCTAAGACGACTAACACGCTAACACAAAATTTTGTAGGTGCAATAAAGTCCGCATAGAAATTGTAAACACATTTAAACTTTCTAAAATCATAAATGATATCGTAAAGGTTAAAAAATAAACTCCAAGATTAGTATACCCGAAAATATCTTGATGATACAAGATGATAGGTCGTAAACTCTTAAAATTTCCTTTTTCATTTCTCGTTAAATATGTGTTATTAATCATGATTTGAACATTTTCAATTCGTACGATTAATAATTCAATCGCATAGGTATACATTATTAATGAAAAAATTATGATATGCAATTCGCTGCTTATGACATAAATTTGGAATAACATTATTAACGTTATTTCCCACTGCTTTAATTTAAATGGTACATAACATTCTATTATAAAGCAGAGTTTAGTATTAACGACGTTGTCACAATCATTTCGTATCATAACATAATACGCCAAAATATATCCCAAAAGAAATCCACCAAAACGAGCCAATTTCAAAATAATTTTCATATTTTCTTCAATAAATTTAAATCTTTCGTGGTCAACGAGTTGTTTAATATCACTTAATATGGTAATCATTTCGAGCAACTCAAATCGTTTTCGCAAAACTTGAATGGTATTAACCAGAATAACTGCAGCTATAGCAAAAAATTCGAGATTAAGTAATATATTAGTAAAATTCTTCTTGTAATCTAAAATCGTTAAAATAACCACTAAAGTATACTTAATTATTGTTGTTGTAACACACTCACCTGTAAGATTTATAAAAAGCGGATAAAAGCTCCAAATTAAGTTGATTACGACCAATATTGATGTTCCTATTTTATTAAACCCGCGCGATATGGGCCAAGAGTGGCATTTGCGGAGATACTTCTCGAGAAGGTAAAAACCGAGTGTTTTCGACATCTTGATTGATGTTGAACTAAAAAGAAAGCTTAGCTTCGAGTTTACGTGTATGTGGATACGTGTACCGATATTAAAAATTTAGTTGTGACTATTGATTTATAATCTACATTTCTTAATCTGACCAATAAGTAATTTTTGAAGAAATGTATTAACTCGAAAACTAAACGATTAAATCTTTTATTTTGCTAAAAAGTGGGTTCTTTGCGTTATAATTTGATAAAAAATTCATTTTGGTATCTCANGTTGTGACTATTGATTTATAATCTACATTTCTTAATCTGACCAATAAGTAATTTTTGAAGAAATGTATTAACTCGAAAACTAAACGATTAAATCTTTTATTTTGCTAAAAAGTGGGTTCTTTGCGTTATAATTTGATAAAAAATTCATTTTGGTATTCAAAAAATCGATGAGTTATGATTTTTTGAAAATGACTCTAAAATATTGAAATGTCTACAAACGCGATTTAATTTGAAACGTGGTATCTCAAAAATTAATCGAGATACGCTTAAATCTTTTATTTTGTTAAAAAGTGGGTTCTTTGCTTTATAATTTGATAAAAAATTCATTTCGGTATCTCAAAAAATCGATGAGTTATGATTTTTTGAAAATGACTCCAAAATATTAAAATGTCTACAAACGCGATTTAATTTGAAACGTGGTATCTCAAAAACTAATCGAGATACGCTTAAATTTTTTATTTTGTTAAAAAGTGGGTTCTTTGCTTTATAATTTGGTAAAAAATTCATTTTGGTATCTCAAAAAATCGATGAATTATGATTTTTTGAAAGTAACTCTAAAATATTGAAATGTCTACAAACTCGATTTAATTTGAAACGTGTTATCTTCAAAACCTAATCGAGATACGCTTAAATCTTTTATTTTGTTAAAAAGTGGGTTCTTTGCTTTATAATTTGATAAAAAATTCATTGTGGTATCTCAAAAAATCGATGAGTTATGATTTTTTGAAAATGACTCTAAAATATTGAAATGTCTACAAACGCGATTTAATTTGAAACGTGTTATCTCAAAAACTAATCGAGATACGCTTAAATCTTTTATTTTGTTAAAAAGTGCTATCTTTGCGTTATAATTTGATAAATGATTCATTTTGGTATCTCAAAAAATCGATGAGTTATGATTTTTTAAAAATAACTCTAAAATATTGAAATGTCTACAAACGCGATTTAATTTGAAACGTGTTATCTCAAAAACGAATCGAGATACGCTTAAATCTTTTATTTTGTTAAAAAGTGAGTTCTTTGCTTTATAATTTGATAAATGATTGATTTTGGTATCTCAAAGAATCGATGAATTATGATTTTTTGAAAAAGACTCTAAAATATTAAAGTGCTTACAAACACGATTTAATTTGAAGCGTGGTATCTCAAAAACTAATCGAGATACGCTTAAATCTTTTATTTTGTTAAAAAGTGGGTTCTTTGCTTTATAATTTGATAAAAAATTCATTGTGGTATCTCAAAAAATCGATGAGTTATGATTTTTTGAAAATGACTCTAAAATATTGAAATGTCTACAAACGCGATTTAATTTGAAACGTGGTATCTCAAAAACTAATCGAGATACGCTTAAATCTTTTATTTTGTTAAAAAGTGAGTTCTTTGCTTTATAATTTGATAAATGATTCATTTTGGTATCTCAAAAAATCGATGAGTTATGATTTTTTAAAAATGACTCCAACACATTAAAATGATCAGAAACACGATTTAATTTGAAACGTGGTATCTCAAAAACTAATCGAAATACGCTTAAATCTTTTATTTTGTTAAAAAGTGAGTTCTTTGCTTTATAATTTGATAAAAAATTCATTTTGGTATCTCAAAAAATCGATGAGTTATGATTTTTTGAAAATGACTCTAAAATATTAAAATGTCTACAAACGCGATTTAATTTGAAACGTGTTATCTCAAAAACTAATCGAGATACGCTTAAATCTTTTATTTTGTTAAAAAGTGGGTTCTTTGCTTTATAATTTGATAAAAAATTCATTTTGGTATCTCAAAAAATCAATGAGTTATGATTTTTTGAAAATGACTAACACATTAAAATGTTTAGAAACACGATTTAATTTGAAACGTGGTATTTCAAAAACTAATCGAGATACGCTTAAATCGTTTATTTTGTTAAAAAGTGGGTTCTTTGCTTTATAATTTGATAAAAATTTCATTTTGGTATCTCAAAAAATCGATGAGTTATGATATTTTGAAAATGACTCTAAAATATTGAAATGTCTACAAACGCGATTTAATTTGAAACGTGTTATCTCAAAAAGTAATCGAGGTACGTTTAAATCTTTTATTTTGTTAAAAAGTACTATCTTTGCGTTATAATTTGGTAAATGATTAATTTTGGTATCTCAAAAAATCGATGAGTTATGATATTTTGAAAATGACTCTAAAATATTAAAATGTTTACAAACGCGATTTAATTTGAAACGTGGTATCTCAAAACCTAATCGAGATACGCTTAAATCTTTTATTTTGTTAAAAAGTGGGTTCTTTGCTTTATAATTTGATAAAAAATTCATTTTGGTATCTCAAAAAATCGATGAGTTATGATTTTTTGAAAATGACTCTAAAATATTGAAATGTCTACAAACGCGATTTAATTTGAAACGTGTTATCTCAAAAACTAATCGAGATACGCTTAAATCTTTTATTTTGTTAAAAAGTGGGTTCTTTGCTTTATAATTTGATAAAAAATTCATTGTGGTATCTCAAAAAATCGATGAGTTATGATTTTTTGAAAATGACTCTAAAATATTGAAATGTCTACAAACACGATTTAATTTGAAACGTGTTATCTCAAAAACTAATCGAGATACGCTTAAATCTTTTATTTTGTTAAAAAGTGCCATCTTTGCGTTATAATTTGGTAAATGATTGATTTTGGTATCTCAAAGAATCGATGAGTTATGATTTTTTGAAAATGACTCTAAAATATTAAAATGTCTACAAACGCGATTTAATTTGAAACGTGGTATCTCAAAAACTAATCGAGATACGATTAAATCTTTTATTTTGTTAAAAAGTGGGTTCTTTGCGTTATAATTTGGTAGCAAATTCATTTTGGTATTTCAAAAAATCGATGAGTTATGATTTTTTGAAAATGACTCTAAAATATTAAAACGTTTAGAAACACGAAAACATCAAAAACGAGTCATTTTGAATTAATGAATTACTCTTTTTTACAGATTGTTTGTGGAATAACTTTTTTAATAATGGGCACCGTTGGATTTATTGAAGAAAGAGGAGAACTAAATTTGGGATTTGGAATACCAGCGGGATCGGCCATAATTTTAGCAGCAGGTTCGTTGCAATTAAATCCAATATATCAGCCCTCCCAATCAATACCAAGAGCCGGAAGTGTTACAACAAAAATACGGAGAGAAAATGAACCGCTGCGCTTTCCAGATAACGAATATAAATAGACTCCCTCAGCAATTTCATTTACAATTTATTTCAATCTTCCTTTCTATATTCTCATTTATTTATTTATTTATTTATTTATTTTTAGCTGGAAGTTTGCACACAACCAAAGGTTTCGGAGGCTACAAAACATCAACGTGTCCACCAAACTCTCCATTACGCTTTTTGGGCCCAACACTTCAAATCGCCGTTCCATTAACAATCATTTGGGGGACAGCTTGTTCGTTTTTAGTCGCACTTTTCGTCAAATCACTTAAAACGTTAACTATTAATCCGATAATGAAGCCTAACTACGACGACGAAGATCCTAATTATTTATGTCACAAACGCGATTTGACGATTTTAGCCTCGTTGAAAGCGTCCTTGTGTTTCGTTGTAATCATTTCCATCATTACCTTATTAAGAATCGATTGCAAATACGACCCAGATTGATCTGCGCTTACCATCGACCAAAGCGGAACCCATCAAATCGGGGTTAGCGTGGTCGGTGGGGAAAATAATTGTTTAACACCCGCTATGGTTACTTCTACAAGTAACGAAAGAGTTGGAAGAGTTGCTTGGGTTGTGTAACAAATTTTAAGACACAAATAGATCCATAAACAGCCCAAAATTAATGAAGATATCAACGTCAATATTACCAAATAAAATCGTTATTAATAAAATATTTATGTAGATAAAAGTAGGGTTCACTTGTAATTATGTATTTAGATTTTTAGAGGGACAATAAACGTAAAAAAATGATGAACAAGTATTTCATTTAAAATTACCATAGATAATTATAGTTAAAATCCATTATATTGCCAAAGAACGTTCTTTTTAACGTGTCGATCTGTTGTTTGTCGTAACTTCAAAGTAATTTTGTTTAAAATATTTACAATTACACTTAATATTAGTCTTATTAGTATTACATTAGTCTTTGAAGATGGCCATGGGCCGAAACTAGTAAGACTTAATTAAATAAATAATAGAACCTGTTTCAAAAGTACAATACTAAGAATATAGAATTTAATTATCTTCTCATGTAAAATTACCATGTATTATATTTTTCTCCATATCTATACATCTGAGAGCAAAAGTGCAAGAGAGCAATATTGTTAATAATAAAATTTGCTACAAGTTTTGTTCTAAAATTTTTTTTGTAATATGTTCCGATTCCTGATTATTACCATTAGCAGTTGCTATAAGTTTGTAAAACAACGAAATTCATCAAATTATTATATTTTCGTATTTTTCTCCATATCTATACATTTGAGAGCAAAAGTGAAAGAGAGCAATATTATTAAGAATGAAATTTGCTATAACTATCGTTGTAAATGTTTTTTTGTAATGTGCTCCAGTCTTCCAGTGTTACCATTGCTTGTAGAACAAAGAAATTCTTAAAATCACAATATTATTGTATTTTTCTCTATATCTATACATTTGAGAGCAAAAGTGCAAGAGAGCAATACTGTTAAGAATGAAATTTGCTATAACTATCGTTTTAAAAATATTTTTCTAATGTGCTCCAGTTCTCCAGTGTTACCATTATTTGTAGAACAAAGAAATTTATTAAATTACAATATTATCGTATTTTTCTCTATATTTATACATTTGAGAGCAAAAGTGCAAGAGAGCAATATTGTTAATAATAACATTTGCTACCAGTTTTGTTCTAAAAATTTTTTTGTAATATACCCCGGTTCTCCAGTGTTACCATTACTTGTAAAACAAAGAAATTCATCAAATTATTATATTTTCGTATTTTTCTCCATATCTATACATTTGAGAGCAAAAGCGAAAGAGAGCAATATTATTAAGAATGAAATTTGCTATAACTATCGTTGTAAAAGTATTTTTGTAATGTGCTCCAGACTTGTAGAACAAAGAAATTCATCAAATTACAATATTATCGTAGTTTTTTCTGTATCTATACATTTGAGAGCAAAAGTGTAAGAGAGCAATATTGTTAACAATAACATTTGCTATAACTTTAATTCCAAAAGTTTTTTTATAATATACTCCGGTTCTCCAGTGTTACCATTACTTGTAAAACAAAGAAATTCATCAAATTACAATATTATCGTGTTTCTCTCCATATCTATACATCTAAGAGCAAAAGTGAAAGAGAGCAATATTATTAAGAATGAAATTTGCTATAATTATCGTTCTAAAATGTTTTTTTGTAATGTGCTCCAGTCTTCCAGTGTTACCATTGCTTGTAGAACAAAGAAATTCATCAAATTACAATATTATCGTAATTTTCTCTATATCTATACATTTGAGAGCAAAAGTGTAAGAGAGCAATATTGTTAATAACAACATTTGCTACAACTTTAATTTGAAAAGTTTTTTTATAATATGCTCCGGTTCTCCAGTGTTACCATTACATGTAAAACAAAGAAATTCATCAAATTACAATATTATCGTGTTTTTCTCCATATCTATACATCTAAGAGCAAAAGTGTAAGAAAGCAATATTGTTAACAATAAAATTTGCTACAAGTTTTGTTCTAAATTTTTTTTTGTAATATGTTCCGATTCCTGATTATTACCATTAACAGTTGTTACAAGTTTGTAAAACAACGAAATTCATCAAATTATATTTTCGTATTTTTCTCCATATCAATACATTTGAGAGCAAAAATGAAAGAGAGCAATATTATTAAGAATAAAATTTGCTATAACTATCGTTGTAAAAGTATTTTTGTAATATGCTCCAGTCCTTCAGTGTTACCATTACTTGTAAAACAAAGAAATTCATCAAATTACAATATTATCGTGTTTTTCTCCATATCTATACATCTAAGAGCAAAAGTGTAAGAGAGCAATATTGTTAACAATAAAATTTGCTACAAGTTTTGTTTTAAAAATTTTGTTGTAATATGTACCGATTCCTGATTATTACCATTAACAGTTGTTACAAGTTTGTAAAACAACGAAATTCATCAAATTATTATATTTTGGTATTTTTCTCCATATCTATACATCTAAGAGCAAAAGTGTAAGAGAGCAATATTGTTAAGAATAAAATTTGCTACAACTTTAATTTCAAAAGTTTTTTTATAATATGCTCCGGTTCTCCAGTGTTACCATTACTTGTAGAACAAAGAAATTCATCAAATTATAATATTATCGTGTTTTTCTCCATATCTATACATCTAAGAGCAAAAGTGCAAGAGAGCAATACTGTTAAGAATAAAATTTGCTATAATTATCGTTGTAAAGGTATTTTTGTAATGTGCTCCAGTTCTTCAGTGTTACCATTACTTGTAGAACAAAGAAATTCATCAAATTACAATGTTATCGTATTTTTCTCTATATCTATACATATAAGAGCAAAAGTGCAAGAGAGCAATACTGTTAAGAATAAAATTTGCTATAATTATCGTTGTAAAGGTATTTTTGTAATGTGCTCCACTTCTTCAGTGTTACCATTACTTGTAGAACAAAGAAATTCATCAAATTACAATATTATCGTGTTTCTCTCCATATCTATACGACTAAGAGCAAAAGTGCAAGAGAGCAATATTGTTAACAATAAAATTTGCTACAAGTTTTGTTCTAAAAATTTTTTTGTAATATGTTCCGATTCCTGATTATTAACATTAACAGTTGTTACAAGTTTGTAAAACAACGAAATTCATCAAATTATTATATTTTCGTATTTTTCTTCATATCAATACATTTGAGAGCAAAAGTGAAAGAGAGCAATATTATTAAGAATGAAATTTGCTATAACTATCGTTGTAAAAGTTTTTTTGTAATGTGCTCCAGTACTCCAGTGTTACCATTACTTGTAGAACAAAGAAATTCATCAAATTACAATATTATTGTATTTTTCGCTATATCTATACATTTAAGAGCAAAAGTGCAAGAGAGCAATACTGTTAAGAATAAAATTTGCTATAACTATCGTTGTAAAAGTATTTTTGTAATGTGCTCCAGTTCTCCAGTGTTACCATTACTTGTAAAACAAAGAAATTCATCAAATTACAATATTATCGTGTTTTTCTCCATATCTATACATCTAAGAGCAAAAGTGCAAGAGAGCAATATTGTTAACAATAAAATTTGCTACAAGTTTTGTTCTAAACATTTCTTTGTAATATGTTCCGATTACTGATTATTACCGTTAACAGTTGTTACAAGTTTGTAAAACAACGAAATTCGTCAAATTATTATATTTTCGTATTTTTCTCCATATCAATACATTTGAGAGCAAAAGTGAAAGAGAGCAATATTATTAAAAATGAAATTTGCTATAACTATCGTTGTAAAAGTTTTTTTGTAATATGCTCCAGTCCTTCAGTGTTACCACTACTTGTAAAACAAAGAAATTCATCAAATTACAATATTATCGTGTTTTTCTCCATATCTATACATCTAAGAGCAAAAGTGTAAGAGAGCAATATTGTTAACAATAAAATTTGCTACAAGTTTTGTTCTAAATTTTTTTTTGTAATATGTTCCGATTCCTGATTATTACCATTAACAGTTGTTACAAGTTTGTAAAACAACGAAATTCATCAAATTATTATATTTTCGTATTTTTCTCCATATCAATACATTTGAGAGCAAAAGTGAAAGAGAGCAATATTATTAAGAATGAAATTTGCTATAATTATCGTTCTAAAAGTTTTTTTGTAATGTGCTCCAGTTCTCCAGTGTTACCATTACATGTAAAACAAAGAAATTCATCAAATTATTATATTTTCGTATTTTTCTCCATATCAATACATTTGAGAGCAAAAGTGAAAGAGAGCAATATTGTTAAGAATAAAATTTGCTATAATTATCGTTCTAAAAGTTTTTTTGTAATATGGTCCAGTTCTCCAGTGTTACCATTACTTGTAAAACAAAGAAATTCATCAAATTACAATATTATCGTATTTTTATCCATATCTATACATCTAAGAGCAAAAGTGCAAGAGAGCAATATTGTTAACAATAAAATTTGCTACAAGTTTTGTTCTAAAAATTTTTTTGTAATATGTTCCGATTCCTGATTATTACCATTAACAGTTGTTACAAGTTTGTAAAATAACGAAATTCATCAAATTATTATATTTTCGTATTTTTCTCTATATCAATACATTTGAGAGCAAAAGTGAAAGAGAGCAATATTATTAAGAATGAAATTTGCTATAACTATCGTTGTAAAAGTTTTTTTGTAATGTGCTCCAGTACTCCAGTGTTACCATTACTTGTAGAACAAAGAAATTCATCAAATTACAATATTATTGTATTTTTCGCTATATCTATACATTTAAGAGCAAAAGTGCAAGAGAGCAATACTGTTAAGAATAAAATTTGCTATAACTATCGTTGTAAAAGTATTTTTGTAATGTGCTCCAGTTCTCCAGTGTTACCATTACTTGTAAAACAAAGAAATTCATCAAATTACAATATTATCGTATTTTTATCCATATCTATACATCTAAGAGCAAAAGTGCAAGAGAGCAATATTGTTAACAATAAAATTTGCTACAAGTTTTGTTCTAAAAATTTTTTTGTAATATGTTCCGATTCCTGATTATTACCATTAACAGTTGTTACAAGTTTGTAAAATAACGAAATTCATCAAATTATTATATTTTCGTATTTTTCTCTATATCAATACATTTGAGAGCAAAAGTGAAAGAGAGCAATATTATTAAGAATGAAATTTGCTATAACTATCGTTGTAAAAGTTTTTTTGTAATGTGCTCCAGTACTCCAGTGTTACCATTACTTGTAGAACAAAGAAATTCATCAAATTACAATATT